TATATCGCTATATCGTTATCTTATATCCTTGCGTGTCTTATATCGCTATATCGTTTTGCGCTCGTTGTCTTTGCTCGATGGCTTAAATCAGATTTCTGATGCATCGCCTTGAATGAAAGTCGCTGTATCGTCTTGCCGATATATGCGTTAAATCGATATGTCTCGATACATCGATTTATAGCCCAGTCCTAATCAGTGTTATTCATGATTTTGAAGCATGAAGTTATTTTTTTAAAACCCATTTCTTATAAGAACGGGTATCTGACTTTAAGTAAATGACAAAATTTCTGTTTAGACAGTTAATGATCAGTGATATAATTCGCGCTGTTAGGCTGTTTAATAGAGAGGAAAGTCCTTCCAAAGTTTGAGTGCTCTGAAGTTAATTTAATTTAAATGGTAGGTTGACGTTCCTTTAAGGTAAAACTAGTCAAAGTGACTTCAAAGATGGGGTTAAAATTCATCATTCAAGTTTGTAAATTTAAAAAAATTTTACACTTTGGTTCGAAGTAGACAGATGTACAGTTTGTAAAAATAAAAAATAATAATAAAATGAAAAATAATAATAATGAAATAAAATAATAGAACAAAAAATGATAATAAAATTAAAAACACGTTGTAACTTGTCTCCACGCCTGTCCTTTTATTTATATACTGTTAATATAATTTATGTTATCTCCTTTACATTTTATATTATTTATAACTGGCGTTGAACTGCTGACCCAATTCTGAGTTTACGACTATCAATGCTCAACTCCGTAGCCTTATAATTTTGAACGTAACTCAGAAGACAGGGAACTCCTGAATGGATCAGTGATACAAACTAGCCTTAGTGGGGGACTTTTTGATGGAACTAACCCGCAATTGCGGTGCACGGTGAAGAAAACCACTGATACATCCCTTAGTTATCCCGACGGCAAGGGGAGTCTAACACATGGTCTATCTACCACTGAGGATATTTTGCGTCAGCACTGTGGTCAGTGCGAGCTGTGAGCAGAATTCGTACAGCTCAGTCACTGCTGGTTTTCGAAACTGGATAGAGGCAAACGCTCTAAGCACTGAACAGCCTCTGCCTTCTATATTGCATTATATTTATACTGCCTTGAAAGAAAAATCAATGGCTGAGATCATTCCTGCCATTTATTACGACTCTTTTCCTCTTCAGTTTTCTCGCATTTTAATAAATTTTTGGCTATGAATTTGATTAAAAGAAAAAGAAGGACTGTTCTGCAGCTAAGTTGAAAATAAATAAAATATTTAAAAAAAAATAGACTGAAAAAAACTGTCATTTTTAAAGGCGGGATTTTTGCTTCAATATTTTTAGGGAGGGAAACCCGAAAAAATTCCACCTCTTACTACATATTTAAAAATGTTCAAGTTTTAAAATTTTTTCATCTCTCAACTTCCTAAAAAGAAATTTAAAGGTTAAAGCAATCCTTTTCTTTCTCTGAATCAAATTCACGGTCATATAATTATTGAAGAGTGAAAAACGTATGGAAGTGAGGCGTTCCTAGAAAAAGTTGGGTAATGGGAAAAATGCGATTTATATTCTGATTCAGGAGCTCATTCTACATAAGAATCAGCTACTATGGTATGGGTGTTTTACTTCATGAGAGGCAGTCTTTTTACTCGGAGAAAAAAAAATCTGGTAAAATTACTGTACTGTATAATAATGACACTTCTCGTTTCTTTTTTAAAAAAAGAAGAAATTCTGGCTAATAAAATCAAAATATACGGTATTAAAAACCTTCAGTTGGTAATTTTGCTTCTGACTTTAATTTAACCTTTAAGTGCGGTCATTAGAGAATACATTTCATCATACAGCATAATTTTTTTTTCTTTTCCAGAGTGTCTCAGTGAGTGTATCAGTATTGACCTTGACTTTCATCTCTATCGATCGTTGGTATGCCATTTGTCATCCCCTCAGCTTCAAAAGCACAGCCGCCCGTGCCAAAACAAACATTTTCCTCATATGGTTGGTATCAATTATTGTCGCCCTGCCAGAAGCCATAGTCCTCGATACAAGAAAGCATCCAATACCCCTGGAGACCATCTATCTTACAGATTGTGCTTACACATGGAGCGAGAGCAACACCAGAATATACCAGCTGTTTCTTCTATTGTTTTTGTACATTATTCCCTTTTTGTTGATGGCTGTGGCCTACTATCAGATTGCAAAAGTTCTCTGGAATAAGAATATACCAGGATCATCAGAAACTAATCACCATGCTTCACGCACAAGTATGTTATTATTATTACTTTAATATTTGAGATATGATTTCCATTTTATATTGGATAGTTTACGATGATATTCTGACCGATAAGTAAAAGATAAAGGATAATTTATGTTATTCATATGAATATTTAAATTTAAAAGAAAAAACTGTAAAAATATGCTCCGCCCAAATATGCAAAAATATGCATCCGCATGTTACTTTCTGAATATATAGATCAGTGACCTCTCAACCTTTTTTTTTTTCTGTTGCGGCACACTTTTAACGATTTCAAAATTTGACGGCACACAATGAAGAAAATTAGATTAAAAGTTGTTTAATTACCTATTTTACACTGCGATAAATAGTTTGTGATAATAATTTTGAATGTGAAATAAAATAATATGTACTACAAAAGCACATTGATTAAGGGATTATTTATTTCTTTAGACCAATTTTTTATTAGTTAGCAACAGTTATTTATTTTTTTTGCTAGTTATTAGTTGTTAGCTTGTTTTCTATAGTTATTAACTGTTAGTTTTTTGTGATTTCTTGTTAACTAGTTTTTTTGCTAATTATTAATTGTTAGCTTAATTTTTGTTAGTTATCCTTTGTTAATTTGTTATTTATATATTTGTTTTTTTAGTTATCCTTTATTAATTTGTTTATTAATTGCATAGCTTACTTTAATGATTACTTTAATGCTCTTACAACATTACTTTAATGCTCATTACTTTAATAGCTTACATGCAACATTACTTTAATAGCTTACATGCAACATTACTTTAATAGCTTACTTTAATGCTCTTACAAAAATTTTTAAAATTGTGTGCCATATACAATTTAAACACTTCCATCTTATTTTAAGATTGTNGTGTCAAAGACAATTTAAACACTTCCTTCTTATTTTAAGATTGTCAGAGACAAGACAATCGACCACAAAGAGATGTTCACGCGGTTAAAGCGTAGAAAAATTATAAAAAGTAGGTATATATATAATATTATATATCTATACACTTTTCTTTAGTTTAAACTTTACTTATAATAAAAAAAGCATTATAATTTTTATTGTATCAGTTCTAATATTTGGCGGCACATTTTAAGAATTTGGCGGCACACAAAAGTGCCGCGGCACAGTGGTTGAGAATCACTGGTATAGATGTTGCCGAAGTGATAAATGTTATTGCTAAACATCTGTAAGCTGCTTATTGCCTGCTAATATAGTAATAAACATTTTACAGCTGCTTATTAATTACTAATATAATAATAAGCATATTACAAATGTTTATTATTTACTAATATAGTAATAAAGATCTTATATATGATTATTACTATATTAGTATTATTATATTTTTACTATATTAAATGTTTAATATTATGTTTATTAATGAAAAAAATAAAATGGAAGTAGAAAATATATTCATAAAAGAAAAACAAACAAAAGAAAAAAGATAAAAGGTTGTACTCAATGAAGGAGCTGCCTAATGTTTACCGCTTATTACAGTCATTAAAGCTGTTTTTATTTACCGTACTTTCGAGGAAAAAAAGGTTCCAGTTTATGTTTCTTAAATTCGTTACAAAACTTCTATTTGAAACTATATATACTAGAAAAATTCTTTTTGGGTCTTAAAACAGATAGATATCTTAATAATTAAAAAAAAATAACTTAACTTTTTAAAAAAAAAATCCTCAGTATGGCGAGATTTTTCCACCTAGACGAAAATGGTTAATATCAATTTATAAGTCTCAATTTTAAGGCATTTTTATTACCCCAAACGAAGTGTTAGAATAACTTTTCTAATTCAGAAATTAGATCTCTGGCGTTTTTCATTTTCACAAATCTACGGCTTTTATTTTATTACGGCTATTATTTATTTTCACAAATTTACGGCATAGTGTTACGCCATTTTCATCATAAGCAAAGAGTGAGCTAGCTGAAAATCGGCAAACTTGTTCTAACAGCTATGAATAGCAGATAGTTTGCATCATTTAAAAAATTGTATGTTATTTGTTTGTTGTTCTTTTTTTTTCAATATTTTATTATGTAGTACAACCTTTAAAAAAACCTTTAAATTGTGTCCCTTTTTAAATTTCTGCGTAATTTACTTTATGCATGCTTGATTATTAGGGTTGTTTTTATTTTTATTTTAAAAAACGATTTGCAACCTAAGTCTTTTAACTCTAGTTACAATTTCATTTTCTAATTTCAATCTGCGTGTGTTTGATTTAGTGAGATTTAATTTTCTTGGTAAAAATTGTTTAGTTTTAATTAAGCACGATTAAGGCTCAATACATTCCTTTAAAAAACTTTTTTAAAAGTAGCGAATTTAAGAAGATAATTGAATTTATTACTTTTAATACTTTAATTTAACAATTTTCTACTTACATTATTTGATTAAGATAATATTTGAACGATAACAGTGAGTATATGAAGATGAAGGGGGGACGGTTCATGCCCGAGGAAACTGATATTAAGAAAAACAAATTTTAAGACTTGGTATTCTTTAGAATGAATCTTTAGAATGAAATCTTAAAATTAAAAACATATACGTAAGTCATAATATTTTTTTACATCCCTTAAAAACTTCAAAACCTAATTAACAATTTTCGATTCTGCAAAAATAAATAAAAATTGAAAATCGATTTGGACAAGAAACGTTTTTTTTTTCCTCAAACTTTCTCCCGATCAAATACTTCCTCACTACTATTCCCGTCGTCTTCTTCGTCGTCGTCTGCTCCAAGAAAAATGGACCACCCTGATTAACTTTTTATTATATCGTTACTCAATTTTATTGGTTCGAGGGAGTAACCTAATTAATTAGTGCATGATCCACAATGGCTCAGGGGACAGAGCGTTCGCCTTCCAATGAGGCGAACCGGGTTCGAATCCCAGTCGATACGAATGCCGCATCCGGCTTGCACCGACCACAGTGCTGACGTGAAATGTCCTCAGTGGTAGATGGATCATGGGTTAGAGTCTCCTTGCCGTCAGGCTTACCGTGGGAGGTTCTCGCGGTCTTCCTCTCTATGTAAAGCAAATACGGGTTAGTTCCATCAAAATATCCTCCACGAAGGCATAATTTCTCCCAATACTCAATCAAGGAGCTCCCTTGTCTTCTGGATTGGGTTCAAAATTATAAGGCTACGGAGTTGAATATTAGTAGTCGTAAACCCGTAAAATTGGGTCAGCTGCTCAACGACGGTTATAAAATATAATATAAAATAATTAGTGCATACGACATTTAAGTTACAAAGTGCGTTTTTGTGTCTGATTTCATAACTTAAAATATCGTCGTCACTAATTAATTAACATATTTGAGGTCACCCTCGGGAACCTTTAAAATTGAGTCCTAGAACGTAAAAATCCGATCGTTGGAGCAAAAGTTTTTTATTTTGCGCACTGTACTTTTCTTTGCTGTTCTTGTCTACTTGTGGACAGGAACCGTTTTCCCCCAGCACGGACCATCTTCACTGTGTAATAACTCTCGGAGGTAACTCTGATTTTCCAAGTTATTGAGTTGTTAAAACTTCGCTGTCCTCGAAATACAATAGATTGCTATTTAATCGCCATTTTCTAAAAAAATGAGCATAAATTAATCCCACCCCCTGGTCTGTACTTTGTTTTTGACGAATGCCAAGCTCTGAGTATCATGCCATTATATCTCAAGTTAGCAAATACTTTCGAGTCAAATCATTAAAATTTTTGAGTGATTTCTACTTGTCCTGACAATCCAACTTGTCTCCCCCTCTGTCTTCATACGAGTGAGTTTATAAGTCACTGAATGAAAGAAAAAAAAAGGAACCAATTTTGAGAATCGGAGCATGAATTTTAGAAAAAAAACTTTCAAAACTAAACCTCATATATGGTTATCAAAGAAAAGAATTTTTAATTCATTTATTGTTAATTTAAATCGGTCAAATAGTATATGAGTCCGCGGGAATAAATAGAATAGTGAGTGAATGAAAGATAGAATGGATAGAATGCAAGATAGAATTAGATTGATTATAAGAATAGGAGGGAGACAAGAAGGAAAGGGGGGAAAGGTATAATAATAATAGTGAAGTAAATAAAAAAGTAGGTAAAATAAATAAAGACGCCTTTATTTTAAGTTTCCTTATATTTAGATGTAAATAAAAAATACTGGTGGTTTCCTTATAAAATCCATTTTTTTACTTAAAAACAAACTATTATTTTTAATTTAAAGACAAATATTTTGAAACTGCAGAATTAATTAATATAAAACATTTTAAGATTATTTTAATTCAACGTATTTTATTTAGAAACACAAGTTTGAAATTGTTACTGTTTATAATGTTCTAAAAAATTTCAAAGAGTCTTTTACTCAAAGAGCATTATTTTGCTTCTAAATTTGAATTACTAATAAGGCAAATTTATATTCTTTTCAAATATTATAAAAATTTAGGATGGCCTCATGTTAATTAGAGTAACTCTCATACGGTAGCAATTTAGAAACGTTTCGCTTAAAATCTTTAAAAATTAAACGATAAAGTAAGAATACTTGTCATGTTTTCAATAAGCAATTTAATTTAAAATAACCCGAATATTAAATTGTTTTATGTTACTAATAGCAATCAGTGAAATAACAATTTTTAGTAATTAGCAAATACATTTTGTTGTCTGAAAAATTTAAAAATTCTATTAAACTCTTTTCGACAGAAAAAAAGATTTTATTGATTGACGTCATAAAAAAACTATTTATTAAGTTCTTCAATTGACCTCTATTTTCCACCGCTAATGTTACCTCTGAAGAAAAAAAAAGGGAATATCTTGCTCAAATATCTGAAAAAATTATGAGTCAATTTTTGAGCAATTATTTTTTTTAATTTGTTCATTTATCTAGTTAATTAGTTTTTTTATTTAATATAAATGAGTAAATTTGTATTTATTACAAAAACGAAGTGTACTATTTTTTTTTTTTTTTTTTTAAATTTCGAATGTCACATTAAAGGACAATTGAACATCAAAAAGACAACAATAAATCTATAAATAAGAGCGAGCAATCCAGTAGCGTTCCCATATAGATTTCCGAGGGAGAGTCCATTACCTCGTGGAGGTCACACAATGTGCAAAAGGGATCATGAACCACTTTGATCGTACATAGATGTTTTTTCAGGCAATCGTGGTCAGTTATCAGACGAAACATGGCAACAGATTTCATCCTAGTCCACTGAGGGACATTGAGAATCTGTTTAAGCCATGGTTTATTGGAATTACGATTTTTGAGTTCCTCGTGAAAAGAGGCCCTGAAGATGTTCTCTATGAGGATTTTGATATTATAGAAAGGAAGTCACGAATTAAACAAAGTGTTCTGTTACGTGTGTTACTACAAGAAGTAATTTTCATTTTTAATGTAAACGAATAAATTAAAAATTTTGTTTGAACATTTCTATTCCAATGCCCACATGGGTTGACATTCGTCAATTCAGGCGTATTAGGACAGATTTGTTAGCCACTCTTTCAAGGGCACCATATTAGGTGGGCCGACGTTGCTCCCACTGTAAGGACAGATAGTATACGGAATGAACGAATATCCATGTCTTGACCAAGATTCGAACCAAAACCAGGCCAGTTCCCTGACCCCTACACAGTTGAGTCAGAAAATATTGTTTTTCCAATGCCCATCTGGGTTGAAGTTCGTCAATTCAAACGCATAAGAGCTGATTTGTTGGTCACTTTTTCAGGGACAACATATTAGGTGGGCCCACGTTGCTCTCGCGTTTGAACATAATTGTTCTCGAATTTTTAGATAGCTTCATGAAATAGAACTTTTAAAAAAATAAGAAAAACTTCTCCCCTAAATGTGGTTATTAACTTTCTGAGACATAGTATATCCTGTAATGCAATTATTTTTGTTGTTTGATTTTATAGAAAAAAAATAAGTTTTTCTATCCTAGATAGAAATTTGTTTTTTTCCTGAGAAATAAAACTAAATCAATTTTCAGATCAACAAGAATTAAATTGTGTTACTCATGTTATGGCCCACATTCAAATTTATTTATTTAAAATTTAATTGTTTTTTTTTTTTCATTTAAATTGAAAGACAGTTATTTTAACAAAAAAAAAGACATACTTTCTTCAATTATAAATAACTATTTCAAAAATCAAAGTTTCCAAAACATGTATTTTACTGGAATCAATTACTTAGAAAATCTATTGAATTGATTTACAGAAAAACTGCATGAAAAGCTGCAGTAGAAATTAACTTCAAAAATAAATACAAAGTTAAAATTTGAAAAAAAATTAAATGTACATTATAACAAGATCGGCAAACTAAAAAGGGAATATTTCTGGAAATCAATTCATAAGTTATTTAGAAAAATTACTTCAAAGGTGGCATAAAAATTTTCTCTCTAATTTCCTTCTAAACATTTTATCTCTCTCTCTATATATATATATAGATAAAACTCAACGAAACAAGATAAACAAACCCAAAGTATTTGAAAATCCATTCTGTCGTTCTTTAGAAAAACTACAGCCGTTTTTAGATTTGTTAGTAAACACGAATCGCTTTAAAAACGTTTTAAAAAGTTCTCAAAAAGTTCACTCTTATTTATTTTTTCATTTCCTACTTTATCGGATCATTATAAGATTTGAATCTGAAACTAAAACAGTTGTTATTCATAGTTATGGAGAAGTAAAATAACCGAACACATTGACTAAACCTATAAATGTTTTCATTTCATTGCAAGAGCCCGTGAACAGATTATTATAATTCTCTTCTCTGCATTGTTTTAACTTGTGTTTTTTTGCGATTCTAGAACTACGTAGGTTACCAAAACGTATTCTGAGATCTAGAAAGATTTTAGAATGTAGAAAAAAAATCTAAATTTTCACGAGTCCTTTTTAACAAATAGTAGCAACAAAGACAGATAATGATAGATAGTAATAGTTGAGATAAAAGTATTTAAGAGATAATGTTATTCGAATGTGTGAAATTAATAAATATTCCATGGAAAATTTGCAGACATTTATATAAAATATTACTCTATTGTTTTACAGTGCACCAAAAAGAAGAAGAAAAAACTGACCACCTTGAATAACTTTGGATCGGATCTTTAAGATCTGTGAATCAATCTTAATAGTTCTAATGGGTTACCTTTTATATGTTAACTAATTAGTGCAGACGATATTTTAAGTAACGAAATAAGACACAAAAACGTACTTTCTCTGAATAAACATATATTTTTATCGGCGGATTCGAATTTCTGACCCACAAAATATGGAGGTTAGCTGCAGTCTGGGAAATATGGTTCCAATAGTTAGTCGGGGAAAAAGGTCCGAAAGCGGGAATAACTTAGTGCTAAGTTTACTTTTTGCGTATTTCACCAAGTCTCGAGTACTTTTTAAGCGAATTGAAAAATTTTTGAACACAGTTGTAAAATTCGTTTATCCAAAGATAAGTTCATGAAAAATATAATTTTTAGTAAATATTTATTATTTTATTTATAAAAGTGAAGATATTTAGAATTGTAAGATATACAATTTTCTACATTATTTCAAAGAATGTAATTTTATATAAAGGAATACAAAATTTTGAGCAAAATTAATCGAATAGTTTCTTAGAAATTGAATTTTTAAAAGAAGATTTTTTTTAAAAAATTCGATTTCTCAGGAAGTATTGATCGGTTTCCTTCAAATTTTGTATTTTGCCCTTTGAAATGGCATTATTTTTCAAAATGATGTTTAAAAATTGTATACCTTTCAATTCAAATTTTTTTTGACTGTTATAAATAAAAAAATTAATAAATAAATTTAATTTCTTAAATTAATAATTATAATTAATTTTAAACTAAAATTATATTTAAATGGAAATTCTTCGGAATAAATGGAATATTCTTTGGATAAACGAATTTCACAATTCTGATCGAAATATTTTCAATTCGCTCAAGGAGTTCTCGAGATATGGTGAAATACGTAAAAAGTAAAATTAACATTAAGGTGTTCCAGCTTTTGAACCTTTCTCCAGACTATATGTTTCCCAGACTGCCAGATAACTCCTTTATTTTGTGGGCCAGAAATTTGTATTCATCGAAAAAAATTTATGTTTATTCAGAGAAAGTACGTTTTTGTGTCTGCTTTCACTACTTGAAATATAGCCAGCACTAATTGATAAGCATATTTGATGTTACCCCCCGTACCTTCAAGATTGAGTTCAAGAACGTAAAGATTTGATCTTAGATTTTTATTTTGCGTAGTGCAAATTGTACATTTTCTCAAAAAGTGCAGAACTATTACTTTTTTTAGCATTTTCAAAAAAACAGCTGAAGGCAGTTAGATTTCGCACTAGAATTAATTTAAATAGTGCAGAAAGAAAAACTTTGAATTTAAATTACATAATTTTTTTTTATCTAAACGTATGTGAAAACGAAAATCTATTGATACATCAAATGGTATATTACAATGATTTTCATCACCACAAAATCTATAAAACCTAGCAATCGAACTATGAAGTTTATATTCGCTAGAAAAATTAAACGATTTATTCGTAACTTTTTATTAACATTGTGGGAAGCTGTGCCTCCGAGGTAGCATTTATGGATTTATATAATTAATTTGAGATCTAGTAAACTTTTGTAAATTGATAGTAATCATTTTCCAAAATGGAAATAAAATGGTCAGGTTTCTTTGATGAAAAAACATGTATGGAAGTGTTACAATATAAAGGGAGCTTCAGAATATAAATTCCACTAACTTTTTAAGCTGGTATTTATAGTATTTACACTAAATAGTAATTTAGGCAAAGCAATCAATTATTATCAATTTAGACTAAATAGTATTTACATGCGTCATTCTTTAAAATAGTACGATGAATTTAGCATTAGAGTTGCAATTTTATCAAAAAATAACTGTTGAATGTTCAGTTTCTTTGAAAGAAAGTGACTGAAAATGTTAGTAAATACCTCAAGGAATTGATTTCATAAATTTGAATTGTGAAACTTATAATTTTAAAATATAAATAACGTCTACTTGCGCTTTTAATTATGCCATATAATTAGGATTTAAATTGTTTATTTTTTCCAAAATAAAAAATAATTCATTTTTTATGTAATTGCGATGAAGTGAATTATAACAATAATTGAACACAAATCGTATATTTTTTTTAATTAATTCATAAATCTTATTGTTATTTTAATTTAAACTCCTATCTCGTTTGTTTTGTTTTAAATATTCTTCACATTAAAAAGTTCATATTAGATAACGTAATACAACGATTGTTAAAATCTCATTCCTTTTTTGCTTTGCACAATAAAAATTGTGTTTTCTCCATTATATAAAGCAATATCTCACCTACAATTTGTTCTCCCTATAGCAATCTCAAAGCAGAACGGTAAAAACGGCACAACAGTACGATTAATCACAGTGAATCCTAGTTGTGAAGGACAGATACAATCTCGGAGAAAAGCGGCTAAGATGCTCATAGCGGTTGTGGTCATTTTTGGATTGTGTTATTTTCCAGTTCATCTCATCAACGCCCTCAGGTAAATAACTAATAAAGTTTTGCATTGCTTACGTTTTTATTAGGCTGTTCTCTCGCATTTTAAATTAAACATGTGCAAAAGCATTGCATTCAGAATAGATTGTGGCATAATGAAGCAATCTTCAAAGTGACAAAAAAACTACTGCTGAAACTAAATCTACAAAATTAGTGTATACGGTATTTTTTGCTACAAATCAAATACAAAAACGCGCTTTCTCCGAAATTTTCCGACAGTTTTGTCCTTAAATTGGATTTTTTTTCTGGAAAATATTATCACGCACATTTTTACTTTTAGCTTACTGCACTATAATTCGAAAACTATTTAGACGGAAAAAATGTCATTGTATCTTACTATATATAAAATTCTAATGATGGTGTCGCAGTTTTCCATTGTTGTCAGTGCATTTTTAGAGGCCAGAAAATCACGTGGTGTGATCCAGTTTCCCCCCATTTATTTCCATATTGTTTAGGTTGTCATCAGCATAAAATTAACAAAAGTCGTGAAGGTATTGTTTTCCTTTAAGTATTTTTGTATCCCTAATTTAAAGTCATTTTCCAGTACTGCTATTATTAGCGAAAATCTTAAATTAAGGTTGCGAACTCATCAAATTTGTTTGAGCAATATAACGTTTTAAGAATATAAATGTTATTTTAAAAAAATGATAATTCGAAAAATCACTTCTGTTCACCAAGAGATCTAAATGTTTATAATAATAATCGATAGTAATATTTGGACGTGGGAAATAGAGGCGCAAGCACGTAAATAAACATAACTCCTTTTAGTACATATATGTTAAGTGAATAATTTTAACTTTAGTAGAAAAAATGTTCCAAGAAAAAACATTTATTGCGAAGCAATCATCGGGGTTGGTGAGCGGTAGCGAACAGGGGGCTCAGCCCCCTAGTCTATTTATAAAAGCTGTTCAGCCGAAAAATAATGTTTGGTGCTTATTTATTAGTTTTTTTTATTATTCTATGTAATCATCAATAAAATTTTTTTGTCTGAAATGTAAAATTCTCTGCATCTTCATAACGAATACCATTTTACTTACTAAAATTAAAAGTTTGAATGAAATAAGTTGAACAGTTCCTGTAAAAGAAAAACTAAAAGATAAAGAAAAAAATCCTTAGTTTTTATAGAAATTTTAGAATTGATCAATTACCTAATTACCATCTTTAAATCCAATAAGGTAATGAATGGAGAGTTCAAAAACTGTTAAATTAAGCAATAATAAATCGCAAATAAAATAAACAGTAGTTTATTGGGTTAATAATTGTTGGATAAGCGAACTTTAAAAACGGAGGGGAACATATTTTATTTTTCTTTATTAGTTTAAAATGCATAGCAAAATACGAGAATAGTAAAATTTATATTAAGGAGAACTACTCTCCTGACTAAACTATAAAGACAGATGGTCTACTATCCAAGATGGTGTATAGCGTCTATAATTCAAATGTAAAAAATTCATTTTCTGTAAGGTTTTAAATGATCATCTGCACTCATTAATTAGCATACCTTATTAGATATGCTTATCAAATCATAAAGGTTATTTTTTTAATCTCTAATTATTACGTCAAAAATTGCTTAACATTTCTATTTTATTTATTTATATACTTTTTTATAGTTTTGATTATAACTTTTTGTTCAATTATGATAACTTCTCTTATTTGTTTTTGCGTTTGACATAGTTACTGAGCAGTTTTATTTTGTTTTCTTGAGTATGTTTTAGCAATTATTTCCATTTTTTTGTACCTTTTCCAGACGTTTAAACTGGACATTCAAGTAATCAATATATAAAATTCAAAAGGTTATTTGAACTCATATTTTTCTGTGATGAACTATGCGATTCTAAAATAGTAGCCTGACATTTAAACCATTTTTACAACTAAAATCTTAAAAATTGGTATGTTGAAAAATTCTTTTTTTTTTTCAAAAAAAAAAAAANGTTATAGATGTAGGGTGGCATTATTTTTTCTTCGATGTCCTTTTGTTTATTTTGCTTCTAATGTTTTTTTAATGCATAATAAAATAAAATTAAAAGAACTTCAAAGCTTATTTTCTTAAGAGGGCAAAAGAGAAGAACCATAGAGTGCATCACATTCGAAAGACGTGCGAGAAGTTCTCGAGTGTGTTAGAAGTTTATTACGAAAGTTTTGCACTTTACAATTTTCTTTTTAACTGTGAATTTCCTACAACATTGAAAAAAGATCATAGATTGTGTTGTCATCAGTATAAAGCTCCAACCGAAATTCGAATGTTTTAGAGATACTTGTATTGTCACAGAGCAACACTTGAAATTTAAGCACCTGAGCTACTCAAAAAGTGGTTATTATTTTGTTTAAAGATTCGGCAATAATACGACAATAAATTTTGCGAGCAGTGATCAAAAAACGATTGAAGCTTGTGTTGTCCTCCAGTACAGAGTATCAGTTGAAATTTGACTACTGTAGCTAGTTGGAAAGTAGTCCTGGAATTGTGATAACAAAAATTCTCTTTGGCGATACTAAGAAGATAAATTTTGCTTGCTGAGCTCACTAAACAATTGAAACTTGCATTTTCATTAGACATTGATCTCTAGTACAGATTTTTGTTCTCTTGTTTTTAAGAAAGTGGTCCACAATTTGATCGCAAAATACGACCCTCCTACACACGAGGACGAGTTAATAAAAACGTATTGATTATAAAATACATTTCGCCATCATTCTCAGATATTTTATCATAAGAATTGTCACCTAAGGCATACTTGCCACAAAAAAAGACAGAGAAAAATTAACGTTGTTCGAAATGTGCCTCTGTAGTACTAGGAACACGTACTTTTTATTGAATCTTAACTATTTCACAGAAATGTCCAAAGATTCATATCGGGATGTTGAAAACGATTTTTAAACTATATTTTATAATTAATTTCTGTATTATTCTCTTTTCTTTATTATTTTAACGTGACTACATCTGCTTATAATATCTCATATCTTATTTTCATAGGTATACAGTTGGACTTCCTCAAAACCCTGTGACAACAGTTGCTTCTCTGTTATCCCATTGGCTGTGTTATGCCAACAGTTCTATCAACCCCATCATATATAATTTCATGAATGGTCAGTATTATCATATTAAACAGTTCATGCTATTTCTTTTTACATTTACTTAGAAATAATATTTTAGAAAATTACATGGGGAAACAAACTTTTTGTTGGATTCATACAGATACTTCATCTTGCCTAATTCGGGTGTGAAAATTTCAAATCTGAAATTAAATTTGCTCCTACAGCGATATTTTTTAAAAGAACATTTTTAGTATATTTTATGACATTTTTAGTTTATTTTTTAAATGTACAAGCTCAAAAACGGTATATAATACCGGTAATGCAGCGTAATGTAAAACGCAAATGTAGCGACAAACTTCTGGAAGAGTTAGGGCACATTAGTAGGATTAAAATTGCGTAGTAACTCAAGCCAAGAAATGTCGTCATATGCAACTGGGGGCTTTTTCCCATTATGACCTGTTCAGACGCATGCGAAAAAACAGCACCCTTAACGTTGATACTATCCCTTGTTACTTATAACGTTGTTAAACTGGTACATTTCGACAAAATATGTCATTTAGGAAAAGTTTAGCTTGAAGAGAGAAACCGATCTGCAGATTTGATCTGCAGATCGGTTGAAAAAATCTTATGCAACACAAACATAATTGTTCCCTGGTGTTATCTAACTTTTTTCTAATTTTTTTAAAATTTACTTTTAGTTGATATTGCAATTTATTTCAATAAATTAATTCACTAATAATTTATCAGTTAAGGAATTTTTTCACATATTTTTTTTTCATTAATATTAAAAAAACCAATCTACAGAATTGAAATTTTGTCTGAGATGAAAAGGGGGAGAACACTGTTACTTTTTCACATTTTGTTTTGAAGAAAAAATTGCATAGAAATAATATTTTAAAAAGAAAAAAAATATTCTTTGAGTATTCATTAAATTCTTTTTTTTAATATACCTCATGTACTTCTTCATTCCATTCTATTCTTTTTTTTTTCTTTAAAAAAAATAAAGACCATTTTATATGCTCTGACAATAAAAAAATTTTCATTACTGAATAAAAAACATTAAAAAGTAAAGAAACATAATTACATGAGCAAAGAAAATTATTACGTGTTACTTACGTCACTAATCTACCTTTTAACAGATAATTTTTCATAAAATATTATGAAAACCACTTTGAAATCTGTAGTGTGTATTCAAAAACTACTATCCAATCTAATTTATGATTAGATTTCAACAATTTTAGAAATATTACCGTAAATTGCGAAAGTAATGTTTTTCTGCATAGTTACTGGTAAAAATGTGAAGTGTTTCAAAGCCTCCGTAATTCAGCTTTCTTAATGGAGGTTAAAAAATGATTCTACATTCTCTTGCAACTTAAGAAAAAACCATTATCCCTATCGAGAGATTCTGTTAGCATCTAAGTGCAAACCAAATGGATACCAGGCTTCCAATGTGACCATATATCAACATCGCCAACTTTTGAAACGTCGTTGCACAGCCTTGTTTTTGCTCACTTTCTTAAATCGTGCGAAATGAGGAAAACAAAACTTATTGAATAAAAACTATTGTATTTTGTTTCTTTAAATATACACCGAAGAGCCATTACATTATGACCACCCTGCTAATAACATGTAGGACCACCTTTAGCCCTCAAAACTGCTAGCACCCGCCTTGGCATTGATTCCACAAGATGCTGATAGGTAGTCTGAGGTATCTGGTACCAAGCGCTCACCAACTAGTCCTGCAATTCCCTCACATTGCGAGGGGGTAGCGTGGCAGCACGAATTTGGTTTTCCAAGTAGGACCACAAATGCTCTATTGGATTAAGGTCAGGTGAATTAGGGGGCCAAGACATGACTTGAAAGTCAGTGGAATGTTCCTCGACGATTCGACCCTTATGACATGGTGCATTATCCTATTGGTAAGCACCATCCCCCGCAGGAAAAACTGTTGCCATGAATGGGTGAACCTGGAATGCAACTATGTTCAAGTAGCTTACAGACGTCAGGGATTGTTGTATGAGGATTATGGGTCCTAATGTGCCCCATGAAAACATTGTTCCTGGGCGAGAAACCATGAAAATCTGGGCGAGTCCATTGTTATAGATGTAGGGTGGCCATAATGTAATGGCTCTTCGGTGTACATATTAGTCTTTCTCCTCGTATTTAAAGAAAATGTTAAACGAAATAATATTGTTGCTTGCAAAGGAACTTCTTCAACAAATATAAAAATAAAAATTCTTTATGTCGCATTGGATTTGTTAAAGGCTTGTCACAATATGACGAGCCATTTTTAGTAGTCCAATCAAATCTAGTGGTCTTGCAACGTCATAAAGATCCATCTTTTTCAAGAACGAATGTTTTCCTTATTTATCGGTAAGTCTAGAATTCGAGAAAGACTATGAAACTTTAACCCTTTTTCTATGATATAATTCTATGATATATATCGTAAAAGATAACACGAACTAAATTTCTGTCTGAAGTGCTACACTTTTAAAAGCTTTGATATTGGTTTGGAAGCATATTTGTATAATTTTATAGCAAAATAAAACGGAATCGCGGATGATTACTCAAATCCTATACCGCAATGGTCTTTTCTTAACTTGTGACTTAATGTAGTATTTTAACAACAAGGATCATCAGAACAAGTATTTTGAACAGGTATTTTACCAGTTAAAATGTGTTAAAATTATTATTTAAATCTTTATGTAATTAAACTCACAGGTTAGGAAAATTGTATTTAAAATACATTTTTGAAAATTATTTTCTTATTTCATTGAATTGTGTTCTAATAATATTTTATATTGTATTTTGTCATAACAGTATTTTCAATTGTAATGATTTAATGATTTTTAATTAACCTACTGATTCATTAAAACACTATTTTCTTGACTCTAATATTCATTGATTCAGCCATTCATTTGTTTTCTGATTTATTGATTTCGTGACTTACTGATTCGCTGATTCTTCAACTCATACATTCATTGATTCATTCTTTTATTTTTATTCCGCTATATGTAGTTTATTTAAGCACTCCTTAATGCGGTAAAAACTAGAGTCTTTCCGCTGTAGGAACGTGAAAATACGGATGTTTGTAGATCTTTCACAGTTTTACAAATAAATTCAGAATTCCTCTGTTTGCGTTAACAAAAATATTAAGTTTAATTTTAATTAAAATTAAATTATAACTAAATTAAATCATTATATTAAAATTAAATTAAAATGTAACCCTTGAAAAACATTTCATATTCTTTATAAAAAAACCTTTAACACCGTTGGCTGAGTTTCAATCTTCGCTTCAATTTTGCAGGAAAATTCCGAAAGGAATTCAAGAATTTTTTATGCTGTTATTGCTGCAGAAACTCTTACAGAAGAAGACAAATGGATCACATGACCGGAACAAAATATCGATTTTCCACATCCGTGACTCAAATGGAAAACATTAACTTGACCACCCTCGACAAAACTTAATCTTATATGTGTTTATTGTTTTAAATGTTTTAATTCTTGAATGAAATTGCTTTTAATGTAAAAGTTTGTTGTGGTTTTTTTCTTATACAAATATCGTTTTGTCATACACGGCGAAAACAAAGAACAGTAATCTGAAATCAGATAACAAAAATGGACTTAAAAAAATATAAGTTAGTTAATTTAATATTTTTATTTCATTTTTCGCCGCTTATTTCGTTTTCTAATGTACTACATTCAATGTATATAAACCTGCTTTTTTATTTACATATTTATTTAATTTTGCATTACTTCTTAAGACAAATTTTACGAAAATCCTAAACTACATGTCAAGATGCAAGTAATAAAATATTTCATTTTATAATTTCATTTAATTTTTCTCTGCACTGTTAGAAATTTATCTGTTAAAAATGGCTAAGTAGCTATTTATTTAATTGTTATTTTACCATATTCAAACAAAACAGTCAAATAACTATAAAAAAGATTATATTCAAACTATTGAATGTAAGAAAAAACACATATTGCCTGTTTTTAACTAATAAGATTTAACAACTAGAATTCCATTCACGCCAACTAGGCCCAATTTATGAAGCTTAGCTTATGAACTTATGAAACCAACTTATGAAGCGCGGAACAACAACTTTGTTCCGTGTAGCTGGGTATATACTGTAGCTGAGAGTGATAATCGGTCAATGTCACGACCGTCTGAGCAGGGGATCGAATCCCACTGTTAATTTCACAATATTTTTTCTATTCCTTCAACAAGTGAGGAGTTTTCCGTAATCCCCGCACTCTTCAATGGGTCGCCCTGGACTATGAGCATACTAAACTATCATTCACAGATAAATGGCGCAGCACTCACAGAGCTCTAATGCCCGTTTAAATTTCGTTTTTATTGTTTAGAAACCATGCTAGGGTAAAATGGCTACAATACCATATAGTTTTATATCCACGGTATTTAAGCCGTGCCAGTTGTAAACGATTTTAAAACCGTAAAAGTAAAAAAAAATATTCCGAATTATAAACCTTGTGGTTAATCGAAAGAACAGACTGTTTTCAATTATTTTACCGTAGTTTCAGAATGAAAATTCTAACAGTGTGTGCTGTTAATACGTTGCATGTCATGCCCAGAATTACTATTTTTCATTTACATATTATTTTTATGCAAACTTTTATTACTTTTCCCCCAAGTTTTTTTCAGATATATTTTATTTATTACCTTTTTCATCCCTTGAAACGGAGTCATTCTCTTGTTTATGAATGTTTTTTTTTTCTGCACTGTAATTATTGTTATTCAAGGTGCTTCGTAAACAACACATTCAGTATATATTTTTAAAAGTCTCATCAAAAATAAAGTGAATTACATAGAAACATTAATGGTCACAAATATAAATTTAAAAAATAAAGTGTTTTAACAATTAAAAAGAAAATAAATCTAACTATTATCGAGATAAATTCTAATACAGATGGAATAATAGTCACCAAATCTAAAGGAAACCAAAAAGCTGTTGGAAAAAAGGCAGAAATTAAAGTTGATTTTTATTGAAAATCTATCAATCAAACTGGTTATTTCGATTTTTTAAAGGAAATAAATGTATCATCTAATTTAGAAACATGTACAAGCGTCAAAAATAATCTTTAAAAATATGAAAAATTTTCCCGGATTTAAAATTGCTAAAGTTATTAGTGATAGATTTTTGAAAAATCAAGATTACAATCATTAATGAATTCAATACTACAAAAATAGTTATTCGTTGACTTTTCTATCACATAAAGTGTTTTATTTTTATGATGAAGTACTGGAAACGGGCACATTTTTAATTTAAGCGTTGAAGAATAGGAAAAACAATGGTGGACAATATGAACCTTCAACTATATCAAGAAGGGATAAAAAAAAAAGGGATATCCTTAAATATTAGTTAAATATTAGAATCCAGACGATTATTTGTAGTTTCTCATATATATTTTTTCACGTTACATCGACTGTGATAAAAAAATAGAGCGTGGAGTCCCTCCGCGTGGAAGAAGTTAAACTTCGTAACCTGCGACGTTAATTGTAGAAGAATCAGCAGTCGTAGAAGGATCAGTAGTTCTATTCAACGACTCTTTTTCCTGCTCCGCTCGCATCCGTGCTCTGTAATCACGGTAATATTGTGCATTTTTCCCTCGTGGACCTCTTGAACCAGTGGAAGTGCTTGTGGTTGCCTCATCGTCTCGCCATGGAAAATGTATTTGTATTAATAATGTATGTGAATGCGTCATAATGTAATTTCAAAAGAGAAAACCTAACAATCAATTGATATTCACAAGAGACGTACCTTGACATAACCTTAAATCCGTCGCATTGTCCGTGGGATTGTTTTCACTCATTTTTTACAATTGTTATCCACTAAATTTGAAAATAAAAAATACTATCCTATTAAATTGTATGTGTATCAAATCAAACTAAAAAAATATTTATAGAAAAACAATACTTTTATGACTTTTATTATTTTTATGCTAGTGAGAACCAAAACAATTTGGAAATGAATGAGGGAAAACTGGATCCTACCACGTGATTTCCCGGCCAATAAAAATGTAGCGTTAAACGTTTAACGCAACCTTGTTGGAAGTCGCATCAGAAGTATAACTTCAAAAAGCAGTTATAATAATGACTATTGAAGTTGCTTTAATAGTCAGCTTATATTCATATCAGTTCACATTTCATATCATATTTCATGTTTAAAAACCTGAATGATATTGTTGAATTGAACATGTGTGAAAATGGTTACAAGACAATTTGTTATAGGTAAGACTAATAGTTCAAAAATTATAAGAGTCTTTAGATAAATAAGTACATTTTTGTACTTATACCTATTTACACGTCTGACATTGTTGTATGAACAAGTGGTGCAGAAGGAAAAATCATCGCCTGTTTGTTTTGGAGGGCAGACATTTTTGAGTTTCGTCCTGGTAGCCGACTAAGCATCCATTGTTTCCAATTAATGACTGACTATCTCATCGTCACCAAGCCACCTCAGTGGAAGACTTATCTATTTTTAACGCCACCTTGCTCGTTAAATGCTATCAATTTCGTGAGACCAAGATACCATATTTGGTTTGATTTGACGACTGATTGCTTTCATCGATTATAACTTTCATGACTAAAAATAATTCTTCAAACGTTGTTTTCTTGGACAGCACCGAAACTTTTTTGTGTAGAATATTCTTTTTCAAGAACAAGAAAGAATTCTCTAACCCAACCATCTAATTATGGCTGATTAACTTCATTGAATACATGTTTCCATTTTTTTTTTCTTTTTTTTGTATACATAACTTTAATTTTTTACTTGTTTCTTGTATAAAGTAAGAACACCAAAAGTTTTTTAAAAAAACTATTGATAGGACTAGAAATAAAAGAAATCTTGTATTTTCTTTATTGTTCTCGTAAACGTAGCAGAGCCTCAACTTATATTTATGGCTGAGTCCAAACGGAAGCTAATTACGAAGAGAAAACATAAAGTATAATTGACGCCCAATGCGAACGCCAACTTTCGCCAACGGAGAAACAAAACAGAATTTTTGCGAGAATATTACAGAGAAAATCGCTACTGTACAGGTAGTAACAATCAGTAAAGTATGCTATATTTTTTTCATTTACACTTGTTAACTTAACTTAAATCATTAAATTAAACATCAGGAATTTATTAGCCTAAACTAACTTGAAACACTAAAAGTGTAAAAAATAATAATAATTTTTACTCTTTCATTTCTGCTAATAAATGTTTCACTCTAGTTTTATAGTTTTAATTTAGCTTTTTGTTACCCCATCTACGACTCACATGCACCAAATATTGAATTCTTACTGCTATCTTTAGCTACACCCTATCGAGTGGTAAGTTAAGGCATCATATTTTAATTATTTATGTTAAAATAATATTATCTAATCATTTTGACACAATTTATTTAAAAAAAATGTCATTAAACACAAATATAGAATTTAACCAAAGATCCAAGCTTCGCAACAATTAATTACTCGCTTAAGTAAATGTCCATTAATCGACAGGCATCTTAAACTGAACGCTGGCTTAAGTAATTCTGAATTTACATTTTTGTGTCTGATTATAATTAATTCCTTAACTAATAGTTAGTAATTGATTATAATATCCAACGTGGGAGTTCCTCGAAGCCTGAAGAAACTTAGTTTATTAAAACCCAATCTACGTAACAAGAATTTATTTTTTCTCAAACATTTTCTAATAATGTTTTTTTCTTAGAGTACATTCATAATAACATTAATTGTATAAAAAATAAAATTGAGAAAAAGAACTAATTATGGATCTAAGACGCAATAGAAGTATTAGCAATATGTTTCTTTAAATAGTTACATTGAATTTCATGCTGCTTTTAATTTAGCCCAAATAAAAAAGTAAAAAACAATTTTTAAAAAAAAACGGTTTTGCATTCAAAGGGATATTGAATGACAGTTAGAGGTTTTCAATAATTTTTTTTAATGAGAAAAACGTTTACGAAAGAGCTTACCACCCCATCCTCCCTCAAAAAAAGAGAAAAACTTTTCGAGCGATTAAAAATGTGGAGATGTAATCCTTGACTTATTTAAGTTTTCAGACCTTAATTACTTCTAATTTTAGTTACTGAAAGTAAAATTTTGAAAAAAAGAAGTAAAACATTGAACAAAAGAGAAAAGTTTTTAAAGCTATTTGCAGAAAAATTTGTTTTAATTAAGATTCTTTTCTTTTTCCATTTAGTTAAATTAAAATTATCATAAATATCTAACCACTTTTTATTTCTGTCATTTAGTAATGCCCATCCGTTCCATTACAGTTACAGTTTATTAAAAAAATATCTTTTAATTTAATGGAAGTATTATAGTAAATTGCATTATAACATCTCATCCGAAAAAAATAATATTTCTGTTTCGGAAACGAACTTTTCTTCAATCGTTGAATTTAATAGTAGGAGAAAAAAGTATGGTAAAAACTACCAGAATGTGGGAAACTTTACTTTGTTTCAATTAAGATTCTTTCTTTTAACATTTAGATTAATTAAAAATATCATAAATATAT